CCCTTTAGGGTTATAGGGGTTTAGGGGTTTAGGGGTGGGTTTAGGGTTTAGGGGTTTAGGGGTTTAGGGTATAGGGTTTAGGGTTTTAGGGTTATAGGGGTTTAGGGTTTAGCCACGCCCTTTAGGGCTTTAGGGGTTTTGGGTTTACCCATGGGCCCCTAATTAAGTCGTTCCTTTTTGGGATTAGCTTATAGGATTCTAAATATAAACCACAGAAGGAACTATATACTTAGGGGCTTATGGCTTATGGGTTGGGTTTAGGGTTTAGGGTTTACAACCTTCAGAAGTTCTGAGGTTTAGGGCTTTTTGAAAGACCATCCTTACAATGCTATTGGGGACCAATTTCCAGAATAGCAGTATATATGGACCCTCTGGATTTAGTTGCGAAGTCCCGTGGTCTTTTTTGTGGCTTGTGTCAAATTCATGCATTGGGGCTTATAAAGCCCATGCCCTGTTCTGTGTCAAGGATATCGTGATTCTGGACTTCGCCTTCGACAGGATCTCTCCTACCACCCTCGTGCCCTGACAGTTCGAGTTTAGGGGGGTGGGTTAGGGTTTAGTGTTTTATAGACAAGATGGTTCAAGGGGGTTAGGGTTTATGCTGTTTAGGGTTGCTGTTTAGGGTTGAGGTTCAGGAATTTGGTGCCGTATGGTTTGTTTTGTGGTTGCTTTGTGGAGTGTGGTTGCGAGAACGGTAGACTCCACAAGCGAAAACCTGAGCCCAGACCTTAACACCCAAACAACCCACCGTTTTAGTGACTTACCTGCGGAAGTCATAACTCTACGGGTCCATGTGCCCGCATAGTAACACACTTTGGCCTTCAAGCCGTCCCAGCATAGGTACTTTTAGGGCCAATGTATAGCCCTAAACCCTAAACCCCGAACCCTTATATACACTATATGAGTACATGCACCCCTTAGGGCAAGAAGGAACCCTGAACATGCAGGTTTCTGTGGGTACAGCCTGAGCCCTGGTTTAGGATGTAGGATTTCAGGCCTAGGGCTTATGTTTAAACCCTAGGAAGTCTGGGATTTTATAGGTTCTAGTCCTATAGACTCTTAAGACTCCACGCACCCCTTCGGGCAAAGTGAACCGTCCCCGAGAGGGAGGGCTTGACCCTGAGCCTTAGGGCTTCGAGTGTCCAGGTGCCGAGAGTTCCGATGGAGTTTTGGGTATTCTACCTATAGCTTTTAGGCAGTGTTGCGGTTTCTGGCACGTCTCTCATGCTATTGAGTAGTTGCAAGTTTGGCCCATTGGTTTATGTCCTTGACGAACACAGAGAGAGAGAGAGAGAGAGAGAAAGTAGAACTGTACGCGTGAGTCGGGGGAAATACAGTAACCTTCGATTTACACGTAGCACTTTTCACACCCCCTGAAAACCCCAGGAAAATTGGGGGGCCTACTGGCCGGGGGGTCTAACCGACTCCCCATGCCCTGGAGAAGAAGAGAGAGAGAGAGAGAGAGAGAGAGATGCTGTCCCTGCTCAGTATATGCAGTGCTGGGGGAGCCTGGCTCCATCTGAATCGGAGCTCTACTCGGAGATGCTCAACACAGGTCCTGTAGATTCTCGTTGTATTTCAAGGGCATGACCCGAAGTCCCAAGCCCTACAGTCCAATCCACGGCTCAAGACTCTTACTGAAGACGTCATGTTCTTCGGCACCCATTTCTGGCTCATGGGAGCCCAAGCCCAAGGATTCTGAAGCCCGTGGTGCACCCCCGATACACTGCATCGGTTCAAGCGGCAGTTTTGAAAAACCAGAGGTAGATGAAGCTTAGAACCTAGACGCTAAACCTTACACCCGCAGACGGCATTGTTTGTGTTGATGGCTTCTTGGAGGTTTCAAGAACTTCGGGCCCGATAAGCATAAGATAGCGTTGGGGTCCAAAGCTTCGATCCCAAATCTCAGGTGAACGCCGGTGGAGCTGGCCACTTCAACATCAGCATTCACACAAACCTTCTGTGGCCCGGAGAGTAGAGAAGAGGATGTTAATGGTTGGGGATGATGGGACTTGCCAGAAGTACCCCTTTGCAACAATGAGATGTCCAAGGGTTTCTGGCATGTCATGTAGTGCCGAGCCCTAAACCCAAGGCACAGACCTTCGCTAGCCATGCCAGCCTTGTGCGAGTGTGTTGAAACTCTGGACCGAGCTATCCAAAGCCCTACACCTTAGGAACGCAAGTTCGAAGCCCTTAACCCACTGGCCTACAAGCAACCCTAACTTAAGCCGAACCTCGAAACCCTAAAGCCGGCCTTGCTGGTGAAAGCCTGCGCTCCAAGCCCCAAGCCCTAAAGCCTCAAGGTCTTTGTTTTTTTCGCGCTGCAGACGTTAGGCCCTCAAAGCCACAGCTACCGAAGGCCCGGTGGAACCCAAGAGCCCTAAAGCCTAGGCCGAAAAACCTCATCCGACCCTAGTCCCAAACCCCAGGCCCCAAAACCCTTACAACCCTAAACTTTAATCCCTAAACCCCAAACCCCAAACCTAAAAACCCTAAAGCCCTAAAAACCCCCCAAAAAAACAACCCCTAACTAAAGGCCCGACGGGAACATCATCGGACATCTTTTACCTCCCTACTTCGAGCGTCGCTGGGGCGAGCTGGGGCGTTTTAGGGGCTTTGGGTGTAGGGTTTGTGTACGGAGGGTTTAGGGGTTTGGGGTTCTTTCTTGAGGATTTCACTTTCTGGCTTGGGGGTTTAGGGTTTGGGTTTGGGGGCTTTTAGTGGGTGGTTTAGAGCTCTAGTGCTTTAGGGTAAGGCTTCCTCTTAACATTTCAGAAACTTCCTTTTCCGCGTTTGTTTTGAGGGTCCTGTTGAAGAGTTCGGTCTACGGGTTGGTTAGGTTCCTGGGATTGTTTTTCGGCTAAACTCTACATCCTAAACCCTAAACCGTATAGTACGATGGCAGCCTTCTTGAGACATTCCTCTCAGACTCAAGGACGATACCCTAAACCCGTTGTACCCTGCATCGTAGGTTCGTCCTAGCCAGGCGGGAGGCAAAGCAAAACCGGAACCTTACATCGTGCAGAATCGCCGGTTGTCACCTGGGAGCCGCGGCGATTCCGAGGTACTGACTAGCCTCGACATGATCATCAAGAGATTCGGGGTCTTTTCATAGCTCTATATAGACTCGGTTACCAAAAGCCATGTGGGTAAGAAGCCAGCCCGCAAGGATTGGTGAGTAGCAAACTCTAAATCTTCAGGATTCAGGGTTTAGGGCTTAGTGCATGGCAGTCCCTGCTCAAAAAAGGGTTTAGGGTTCATGTAGGTTTCAGTGAAGCGCTGAGGGCCCACGCTGTTGCTGAGGTTCCATCAACACCGACCTTCATGTTCCAACGCAGATGAAGATCTTGGCACTGTCGGAGTTGCTTGGAACCTGATGTTCCTTCTTCGGTGTGTCGCTTCGCCACGAAAACCCTACGCCCTACACTATAGGCTATTATAGGGGCCTTTATAATTACCTCGCAGTTCGCTGCACACTCTGAAGCATCGAAGGTGTACTTCAGTCATTCTTGCGCTTGCTCGTTATTCCAACTTCGTCAAGTTGTGGTTGATGCATTTCGTGTCGTTGAATTTCGATCTGGTTATTGCTGCTATTTCTGTTGATTGCGTTCATCACGACATGCTTCTTGTGCTAGCTCGCCATCGTGAATGGGTTGCTACCAGGATACGTCAGTGTATATCGTACTACCTGATGATGATTGGCCGATATTGTGCTGCTAGAAGTCCGCTCGAAACCTCAGACTCGTCCGTCTGCGTCTCAAGCCGTTTTGACGCCCAAGGTGCTTTGAGGTCCTCTCCCCTCTTGCCACTCAGAAAAATGACCAAGGGCTCCAACCCGAGGGTGGCTCAGGCCATGGCCCTGGCTTCAGCCGCCGCAGCAGGCTCCGCCTTCTCCATGATGGCGGCTCCTCAAGGTTCGCAGTCGCGCATCGTGACCCGGGCGTCGGGACCGAGCCCGGCTTCCGCGCCGAGCAGCGGTGGAGTTGCCGGTGTGACGGGCCTAGTGGGCGCAGGCTTGGTGGCCAGCGCTGCCCTCAGCCGCTCAGTCAAGCCCCGTGGTGGCAAGAACCTGGTGTCCATGGCCGCTCGTGGTGGCGAGAGCTATGATGCTCTGGTGAAGGACCTAGAGACCCTCGTCAAGGAGAAGGAGTGCGGACCGATCCTGGTGCGCCTGTCCTGGCACGATGCCGGTGTGTTCTCGGACGGCAAACTGAAGGGTGGCTGCCCGAACGCCGCCATGAGATTCACCGACGCTGGAGAGGGCACCTTCGGCGCCAATGCAGGGCTCCCAGATGTTGCCCTTGGCCTGCTGAAGCCTATCACCGAGAAGTACGTTCCAGACACCATCGGGCATGCAGATCTTTGGACCCTGGCTGCCAATGTGGCAATTAAGGTGATGGGAGGCCCTGATATCAAGACTCGATTCGGCCGCAAGGA